CAAGGGGTTTGGAAATTCGAGGGAACTCAAAAGGACGACTTTCATATAAAGATCCATCTATATATAACCTGACTTCACTTTCTGCTTTCCCAAGAATTCCATGCTTGCCCACATGTTCAAGACCAATGAAGTACCAGCATTGCGGTTTGAAAGCATAGGTAAAATGCAAAGAAGACTTCTTTCCCTTTCCACTAGCAGTTTCAACAACCAAAAATTGAGCATGAAAATAAGCCTCTATACCCTGATTATCACCAGTCAAAAAACTGAATAGCCGCGGCATATGTGCTGTACCTTCACCAGCTAGTGCACTAGCTGCGGCAGCAGCTGACATAGCCGATGATTTACCCGACTTAGCTGCTGCAGCTGCAGCAATTGCAGCAGCAACTGTAGCTGTATTTAATGAATCTGCAAATGATTCAATGTAGATCCATGTTGCAAAAGCATATCCATTGATAAATGGCCAACGGCTCTCGCCTGGACCGAGCAAACCAGAACTTTCACCATCAAACTCAAAGGTGCAGGCTGGTCCCCCTGACTCCTTTCCACTTATAGCTTTCTCCAATGCTAGTGTTAATCGTGGAGCCCAAATTGTGGTAAGTGTCTTTGTAATGACTTGAAACCATCTATAAAGATCACTCACACTTAGAGAATGGCCCGCTAAGTATTGTATGCAGTGGCACAAAGGAGTCCCATCCCACCTCATTTGCCCATTTAAGCCAACATCCACTTTAAAAATTTTTTCCGCGGTTCTCAACAATACTCCTAACAGGCCAGCCATTGAGCACATTGCTCTATTCCTAGTGCAAGCCCTTAATATGGCAAGTAGTCCCCTAACCATCCGTGTTCTCGGTGACATAGCATCATCAGTGTCACCTGCATAAGGAAGCCAAGGAATAAGTTCACCTGCTACAATGGCAGCCCGGGAGTTCAGCATAACGCTAGGAGGATTATTATCTTCATCCTCTTCAAAACTTTCAACGCCACCCATTGTTGCAAGAAGTGAATCTACAATTAAGAAAGGCACACTATCCATCTCTTCACCACTCTCAAATATTTCTACACCACTTGCAATATTCTTCAGCTTATCCATACCTTCAGGCTTCCCCATAATAGCAGAATCAACTAAATGTAGCAATTCTGGAGATACATTTGGCTTTGCATGTTTTTGCCTTGGCTTTGGTGGAGAATTAACAGTAGAATATCCACTAGAATCAAAACTAATTGACGAGGAAAACTGCTTGAATGTATGATCAAAATGTCCTTCTGAGCCAGGGCTATAAGAAAGATTATCATGATGCAAGTCAGCAACAGGGGAAGTATCATGCTCTGTCGAGTACGACTCAAATGAATATCGAAGATCCACTGCATTTCCACCAAGTGGGTGTTGTTTATTATCAGAACCAGACGATAGGTTTGATTCCTCATATTCATTATTCTTGTCTTGATCTTTCAAAGATACTTGCTCAAATTGGTCCTCGTCCATAACTGTAGTGACAGAATCAATACCTTGTTCTTGCAAGTTTACCCTTTCATCTACATGTTCAATCCCAAAACTACTGCTAGAATTTACATTGTCCTGATGAGGGCTCTCAACTGATTGTTTTACACCACTATCTACTACTCCTTGGGTATCTAATCCATTATCAGATATTTTCATCTCTTTTGGTTCCTCCTCATCTTCCATTATGCTATTTCTGAAGAAGCTAACAAATATTCATTCAAATTATGACAGCCCAATCCGCCTGCAAGTAATAAAATTACCAGAAAAACAACATAATGAACAGTAAGTTTTCTGCAAGCCTTTTGAAAGAACAGACATTATGTCAATCTTCAAACAAGAACACCACATTTCAAATGGAAAGAAACCAATCAGAAAGAAAGTACAAAAGCGTTTCAATACATGCGCATGTACTCAATATACACGTACATAACGATGTTTTAATATGAAGTAATAAAGGTGAATACTCTGGTGCCCATTTTTTTCCTAGGTTCTAATGATTTGATGAGTTCCCCACAAATGGTCATCAGTAAACTAACAACCGGTAAATGTTCGACAATGACAACTCATCAGGGGAGGGGGGAGGGTACACGGAAGAAATTACTATACAGGTGGAAGAAATCTTCACATATAAGAAAGTCTATACTAACTAGTAGAAAATTCATTAACTTGCTCGGGCAGCTTGAACAGGTAGTTCATTCGCATAGATTCGAGTTGAGAACAAATTTTCTAGAAGTAAAGGAAGTACACTACTTAAAGTTCAAAAGTACTAACACTAAGACCCGCCTCACTAGTTAGCGAATCTAAAGTAGTTCTACCAAACACAGAATAAAAACATTCTTATTCAATTTAAGTGTGTTCAATCAAATCCAACCAAAACACAAAAAACAAAGAATGCAACGAGAACCACTAGGATCATCCAATCCAAAAAGTCGTCGTTTAGAGTAAAACGCAAAAAGTAGTCCCCGGATCTTGCTCGAACGACAAACTCAAGCAACCGAATCCACTTGGATCGCCTCACATTGCGAGAACAGATCGAGAAACAGGAGATCCCTCGGCAACATCACGTGCATTCGCCCGCGATTCGATTGGAACTCCGAATTCAGAAAACGAAATTGCACCGATCGTAACGAAACCGACATTGCTGCTTCAGAAACATGTAAGGAGAAGAAGAAAGAGACTGAGATTCAAGTGCGGCGTACCTTCTAGAAGATTCCGGCGCGGAGTGCCATTTGGATTCGATCGTCAAAGTTGCGATCGGCGATTTGACGGAAATGAGAGAGAAAGTGTAGAGAGAGGAAGTAGAGAGAGAGAGTGAATGGGAGATGGATAAGGCGAATTGGGCGCGAGAGAGAAAAAGAAGAGAAGAGGTTGGTGTTGCAGTGTTGGTTTGGTGACTTTGCTTGCAGCTATGTTATTGATTATTGCTGTCTGCTAATTACCCCTCTCTTCCCATTTCTTACCCGTTCTTTGCCTTGTCTGCTCCGGTCCGGATAGACCGCCACCGGTTCATCTAACCGGTTCAGTTTGTAATGTTTCTTTCCTAACTGCTGTGCTTCTTATTTACGACAAAACTTATCTGCTTTATTCCACAGCCGTTTTGGTCCATGGAATGAAATAATAAGATCCGATATTTTTTATTTTATTTTTTACATTTTTTAGACTGATGTAATAAATTTTTCTTAGAGAACCTAACTTAGAAATAAGCATGAAAAGATAATTATATTAGTTTGTTAAGTATTTTTAATAAGCTTTTATTATAAAATATAATATCGATCTTTAGTATTAACTTTTATTGTTTTTATTATTAAGATAAAAAAATTTATTGAAAAATGCTATCAAGATTACTTAAAATACTTCATCTTAAACTTTATCCTTTTAATTATCTTCCTTTTCAGTTAATAGATAAACAAAATGTTATTTAAAATAATACAATCTCAAAGTGTGAATCAAATAATAAAAGACTAATTTAATTTAATAAATAATGTCATTCTAAAAATATAACTATTAAACTTTACCAAAAATTTTGTCGCTTTTAATAAATTTGTTATGTGATTGAATCAAAGTAAGGTTTACAAAAACATATCTTATCAAAACAAGTTTTACAAATTTTAAAAAAATTATAAATTAATGGGAAAAAAAAAACACATTAGGTGACAGACATTCCGATTGGTTCTAAAAAAATACTTTTAATGATTTTTTAGAAACTTATAACCATACATTAAAATATAAGATATTTTCACCTTTTATTCAAAATTTATATTATTACGTATAAATTATTTTCTTGATAAAAATATATTTTATTCCCAGAAATATAATATTTTTCTTAAGTATTTGTTGTCACGATTTTTTTTTTCCAATTACATAAGCAAACTCATTAATTTATCGATTAAATCAAAAGAGAACTCACTCCTATATAATTTTTACTAACTTCCCATGAGTTAAGTTATAAATAAATGAATTTTAAGTTTTATGGTGCCGATTAAATTGGAACAAAATAAATTAATTATAAAATTTCAATGAAACTTAACTTTTTGATTTTTTTATGTAATTTAATTAAATTTCAATTCACCTGCGCGATGTTATAAAGTTTAATATATATTTATATTTTTAAAATAAAAGTTTCATAATAAAAAATAGAGATTTCAGGTAAAAAAAATAATTAGTTCAAAATAGTTTAAATTGAAGTTAAAATTAAATGCATAAAATGTGAATATATATTTTTGTGATGAAGCATGGACAATAATAAATTATATTGCTTGTAAGAAAAATAAGTCATATTGTTTGGTAAAGTTCTATAACCTAACTTATACCAAGTATAGGAGTGGTTGCAGGTTTGTTTTTTAAATATAAAATTGTGAGACTAAAACAGAGTTAAATTAAATTTTAATTTAGTTTTGAATAAATTTAACTTTATTTTTATTAAAAAATATTATTTAAACTTTTAATTACAAAAAGTGTAATCTTTTCGTTTTTCTTAAAAAAAGTTACATGTTATCATCACGCTTGTTATTATATTGTCATTGTCATCAACCTTAAGTTAAGTGTCTTATACTTATTATTATTATTATTATTATGCTATTTTTGTAATGATCTATTATTATCTCAATTGCTACTAAGTTCATGATTATTAATATTATAGTCATTCTCATCTCCATGGACAGTGTTACTATCGCACTCATTCTTCACCACTGCCATTACATTTTTACTACTCTTACTATAATTATTGTTATAATTATGATTGATATTTTTGTTGTTATCAAATTCATTGTAATTAATTATTACCTTCCTTTTTTCTCATTGGTCATTTGATTTTTGTACCATAATTTCTGATACATAATTTTTATACTCTAAATTTAAATTAAATATTAAATTTAAATAATATAAAATAAACCAAAACTGCAAAACTAAAATTTAAATAATAGCTTCTTTTGAAAAAAAAAAAAGGTTAAAACTAAAAAATGACCTTAAATAGGCTTTAAATAAGTTAAGTTTATAATTTTTTGAAACTACATATTTAGATAATACAAATAATATAATAATATTATTATTTTCCAATTTATATAATTATCCTCGTTAATGTAATGTTTTTATTTATATACTTATTCTATTTAAACAATTAATTTGATAATTCACATAGAGGTTTAATTCGTTGTGTCATTTATAAGTAAACTTTGTGAGTTATTTTAAAAAATTATCATTAAAAAATTTTTATATAAATTTATAAAAATCATTAAACATGTAACTAATTGGCATGATTCAAATATAATTATTTGTTATAGAAAATATTTGTAATTTAAATAAAAAATTTGAAAAATAAACTAATCTTTTAAAAAATTCAAGTAATGTCTTAAAATCTATCTATATCAAGTAATGAAGTGTGCTTAAATTTAAAATTTGAGAATTGAATAAGTTTAGGCCTTATAAAGTGAAAGACAACTTATACTTTTTCCTAACCGACAAATACAAACAAATAATATATAAAAGTAAAATATGCGACAGTCAATACCTAAAAAGGAGAATGACAATTTTTAAATTTTTGTTTTAAAAATTAGGAGTTAAATATAAATATAAATGCATATCAATCTCAATCTTTAATGTTTTACTTTAAAATAGAAAAAATTGTCAAACTCAAAGGTATAAGAGATACATTTATTTCACTATAATTATTGTTATATCTATTATTGATATTTTTATTGTTATAACAATTTTGACATTTTTTTTTTTATCAAATTAATACTCTTCTAATCTTGAGTTGTCATGATTTCAATTAAATTTAAATTACTGCCTATATCAGTTTAGTATCTACAAAATTCTATCAATTCAGATGGGTCTCAAAGTTATAATCTTGCTAACAAGTTAATTTATTTAAAGGCCAAACTGTATGATTAAAACTTTAATCAATCAAACAATACAACTAACATATTTTAATAATTAAACTCTATATTTTACTCCAGAAACAGAACTGTACCAAGTTATAAGGATTTTTTTTTTATATAATAGTTAAACGATGTACATGCACGTTTGCATCAAGTTTGATTTTTTTTTTTTTTAAAGTAGTATTTATGTGATATTTATTTAAATAAAAACAGGTTATGCTCCTAAAAATATCCATGTTTTTCATATTTTGTCAATTGGTCCTTCTAGCCTGTCAAACTAGTTTAATTTAAAATTTAACATTCCGGTTACTATCTTATTATTTAACACATTTCATTCCATATGTTTTCAATGTTTAAATTTTCATAATTATATGACTAAAAAAAATCCAATACTTGAATACCTACTGGGTCATATTTATGCAAATATATAATTATTAATGGATAGTTTCACAATTCAAAATTTTAAAAATCTAAAATTCTTTATTTATTGCAATAAAATTGAATTCTAATTTTTATTGTCATTTTAAAAAGAATTTATTAGTACCTTTATTTCGACACTAAGTATCTTGAATTGTTGATGTCATAAAAAACAATTTTAAAGAGCTACTTTTCCTTTATATATATATACACACACACACGTTACTGTTCTTTTGGGTTTGGGCTTAATTTGTGTTCATTTCTTGAAGGTCCAATATAAAATGTTTGACTCTCACAAAAAACCGCGATTCCTGGGATACTGCTACAAAATTCAAAAGGCTTGAACTTGGTGTGTCTCTGCTCTTCTGATTCTCAATGATGTGGTAAAGAGAAAGAGAGATTTGCCAATCTTTAGAGAAATATATCTCAAGAGGTGATTCAACTGTTTTTTCACTTTCATTCTTTTGTTTTCTTTTCTTTTCCTCCCTTTGGTTTTGCATCGTTTGGTGATGAATTCTCGAGCACCCCATTAACGTTTAAAGCTTCAAAATCGAGTCTTTGATGGGAGCTTCCAATCTTTATGCTATTTTAAATCATGGGTTGTACACTTGTTGCGTGTGGTGTGTATGAAAAATAAATTCGCGTGCTTCAAGATGCATTTCTGTTTCTTCTAAACGTGATCATATATGGTCTCTGAATATGCATTGCAAGGTGTTACATGGTGAATCACCGTTCAAGTGAAACAACTAAGAAAAATCATTTTCATTTCAACGTGTAAATAATTTTTTTCTGTTTGTTTGACTTGTCTTGGACTCAACTCAACTGTGTAATTTCTGTTTGCTTAAGTTATCAACTTTCTTGATAGTCCCTATGATTATTATTCCAAGCATCTCTGTGTTTGTGTGTGTGTGTAAATGAGTCAACCTTACGACTGCCTTAGGTATATGATCCAATTTCTGACAATTTTGCTGATTTTTTTCTTTTATTTTTTTAAAGTACGACAAAAACTAAAAATAACGAAGTTTCTGATCGTAGACTCTCTATCCATTTGTCCTGTTGCATTCTTGTATGCTAAAAATTGTTGCTTCTTTGATGGTGATTAGGTAGACTCAACTTTTTCGCTTCACATGCTTCTGACTCATGTTTCCTTTCATTCTAGACAAATGGTTTAAGCTTTTACATATTTGTGATGCTGTGATTATGATTCTGCAACAAGAATGAATCTTCTTTACCTTCTTCTAGAGATGGTATACATGCTCCCTTTGGTTTAATAAATATGCTTTCTTTGTCTTGATGGTCTAAAATCTCTTTTATTCTCGTTTGGATTAGAATCTCCAACAACTGTTGAATATTCAACACGATGACTTCAGTTTTTTATTCTTCCATATGAGAATATGAACCTGCGCTAGTTGTTTTCTGATACTTTGTATTAATGTGGATATAGATATTGTATGTTTCCAGGTGCATACGGTAATAAGACCAAGATTATTATCGAAATCTGTGAGTGATGGATTGCTCTAATCAAGCAAGTAAAAAAGCAAAGGCTGATGAAGGGTTTGCTATTCCAAGGAAACCTCGGATTCTACTTGCTGCTTGTGGAAGTGTTGCTGCTGTCAAACTTGGCCTTATCTGTAGTTATTTTGCAGAATGGGCAGAAATAAAAGTGGTTGTGACAAAATCATCTTTACGTTTTATTGATAAACTAACAATTCCCATGGATGTATTTTTGTATTGTGATGAGCATGAATGGTGTAATTGGAAAAGAATAGGTGATTGTGTTCTTCACATTGAGCTTCGTAGATGGGCTGATATCATGGTCATAGCTCCATTATCAGCAAATACCCTTGCCAAGGTAATCAAACTGATAAAAACATTACTATGCCTTAAATAGGATGGCTTGCCTAAGACTTAACCTGTTTATGCAATTAAGATTAATTATCTGTTATGGTTGTTCCTAATAATTGTGTAACGTACAGTTTTCATGCTTGGATTTGACTCTTTCCGTTGTTGAGTAGTGGGATATGGTCACGTTGGAGATAAAAAGTACACTTTTTATCAAATACTCACTGGATTGAATTATATTTACGGTTTTCTAACATATATGCAAGATTATATAAATAAGAAATCAATAAATAATAAATTTTTATTAAAAATTATGATATTTAATAACATGAAAGCATTAAATTGTGTAATTTTTAATATAAATTTACCATATAAATTCTTATCATGTGTAATAATATTACACGTATTAGAACATTGTTAAATTTAATAAAAGTTGTATTTTTTTTTTCTTTTAATGTGACCATATCTCTTATCCAAATTCAAAGCGCATGTTTTTTTTATTTGGAGTGCATCATTTGCAATTGCCTCATTCTTCTATTTCTTACTTTAACTTAAAGAAATACGGTGTTGTAGATTGCAGGAGGGTTGTGTGACAATCTATTGACATGTATAGTGCGAGCATGGGACTACAATAAGCCAATTTTTGTTGCACCATCCATGAACTCACATATGTGGCAAAACCCTTTGACAGAGCAACATTTCATTAGCATGGATGAGCTTGGCATTATTCTCATCCCACCTGTCACACAGAGGACAACTGGTGAGGAATGTGTGTATGCTGAAATGGCTGATCCTTTTATTATTTTCTCAACTGTGAGACACATTCATGAGAGGAATATTGAGAATAGGGGTAGCGCTTAGCCTTAGAAGTTTTGACCATTATGGTGTAAGTGTGGAGCTCATTTGTATTGGCTCCTTTTTCATATGTTGTTTGTTGCATCCAGTGTGATCTTTTACTGGGTTGTCTCGTTTATGATCTTAAACCCTTGTACACACTGGAATGAGAATGTGTTCAAATAGCATAGTAGGAACCAAATTGTAGCAAAAATGAGTTTGTTTACAGGTTTGTAGAATGACTTCTAAAAGCATAAAACAACTTTGCAGTTCACTGAGTATGATATTCTTAGAAGAAATCAATTTTTGATATCTTTTTAACGAATTGTGTGACTGTGTTTGAGGCTTATGAAAATCACGTTAAACCATGTTTAAATATGAAATTTTAACTTCTGGCATTAAAATAGATGTACACTCGAGTGCATTTGTCACATCCTTATCGATCATGGCAATAAACTAGTTGTTATTTCAGGAAGGTTCACGATGGTAGTGGATAACATTCTGTACTTGTTTATTCCTCTGGACGTAAATTTTTTCTTAGTTAGACTTTCTACAATCACATGTTGGAAAGAGAATAAAATAATATTCTTCGTTTTTAATAATGTGTTATTTAATTCATTAAAAAACTGTTAATTAAAGAACATTATAAAAGCCAATTGGGACTTGTCAGAAGCCGAGGTGGTGAGACAAGAATGAAAATGCTAGCAACATACTTTCTCTTGATATAGTCGCTTTTGTTAAGTAATATTAAATTAATATTAAATTAAAAATGTTAAAGAGATTAAACTGAGTAAAATAAAGGATAAAGAAGTCCAAAAAAAAAAATACTTTAAATAAATTTAAATAACAACAAATTATTTTAACCAAAACTTTTATCAAGTTTTATATTATATTTCATGCTAAGTTTTAAATGACACTTTTGTTTTATATTTTTATCAATTCTTTCAGTAGACCAACTCATTAAATTATATAAGTCTTAAAATTTAAATTATTGTTTATCTTTTTGTCCTTTCAAATTCTTCTTGCAAATAAATTTTTAAACAAAACACGAACAATAACAAATTTGATATCAACGGATAATTAATTATGTTATACATATTTAATTTATTTTGCTAATATTTTATATTAAAATCTTGTGTATGAAAAATAAAACTTATTATCATAATTACCTTATTATATGTGGGTTTTCGATTAAATAAAATAAATTTTCTTGAAAGATATATGTAATTCTAGACTAAAATAATGGAATTTTTTTTATGTATAACTTTGTGCTATGCATAGTTATCAACCCAATATAAAAAAAAATTCTTTTAAAAAAAAATTCGATTAGTCAATCTAACTTTTAACATTAGTCTAATTAAAATTTAATACTTCTATATATTATTATTATTATTATTTTCTCATCCAATTTAATCTAGATATAATTCAGATAATGCATTTAGATGTGTTGAATGAGTCTATCACTTTTTTATTATTAGTACTTTAATATTTAACACATATAATTGCAATATTTTTATCATGTGACTTTTTATTACTATATTACTACAAATAATTTAATATTTGAATGCTTATTAAGAAATTAGTTTCAATATACTATCATATAAAAAAAAATTTGTTGATTGTAGTAATAATTAATATAAAAATCATATTAATGGTATATTTTAATTGATTGATAATGAATTTTTTTTTATATAAATAGTATATCAAAATTAAACTGTAATTAATACTATCATATATTTATGAAAATAATTCCTAATGTAGAATTTCATAATTCAAACTTTTAAAATTTTAAATTTTTATTTATTTCAAACAATTTGAATGTTTTATTATTCCAACACAGATGTTTGACTCTTACAACACAAGGTGATATATAGAACAATTCAAAAAGCTTGACTGTTCTTCTTCCATTTCTCAATGCTGCAAGAAAGAAAAAGAGAGATTCGTCAATCACCAGAATTATAGCTCACAAGGTGATGGAACTTCTTTTTCATCCTTCTTATTTTTTTATTCTTTCTTTCTTCCCTTTGGTTGTGTTTCATTTGGTGAATTCTCGAGCACCCCATTAACGTTAACGGCTTCAAAATTGAGTCTTCGATGGGAGTTCCCAATCTTTATGCAATTTTCAATCATGGGTCGTTCACTTCTTGCTATGTGTCATATACATGAGAAAATAAATTCATCTGTTTTAATATTCAAGATTCAATTCTGTCTCTTTTTTTGTGGTCACGGATGGTCTGTGAATATGCATCATAAGGTGTCAATCTTGTGTTTATCTTGGACTGAACTGGGTCATTTCTGTTGGTTTTAGCTATCAACTTTCATTATGTTCCCTATGATCACTGTTACAAGCATCTCTCTCTAAGTGATTGATAGTGGGTTTGTGTTCATGTTTAAATTGTCGTGATCCAGATTTACTTCAATGCTATTAGTTATAGCTTATGTGTTAAATAGACGTTTATCAATGTGTTTCCAAACACACCTTTGGTTTATGGTATATTGGTATGCTTTACATATTTGTGAGGGTATTGTGATTCTGCAACAAGAATGTCTTTTCTTTTATCCTCACTGGATTAAAATCTCCAAGTTACAGTTTTTGATCCGTGCATCTGTGAATATGAACTTGTGATGGTTGGTTTTCTGATACTTTAATGTGGATATAGATACTGCACTTGCTAGAAGATATAACCGAGTTACGGTTACATAATGACAAATCAAGACTCTGGTGCATGCACATCGTCTTGAGCTACGTATAATAAGACTAAGATAATTGGTGAAATCTGTGGATGATGGATTGCTCAGATCCTGCAAGTGAAGCAGCAAACAATGAGGCAGGGTTTGGTGTTAAGAGGAAGCCTCGAATTCTACTTGCTGCAACGGGAAGCGTTGCTGCTGTAAAATTCTCACTTCTTTGTCATTGTTTTATAGAATGGGCTGAAGTGAGAGCAGTTGTCACACAATCATCTTTACGTTTTTTCGATGCACTATCAGTTCCCAAGGATGTGTTTGTTTATTATGATGAGCATGAACAGCATAGTTGGAAAAAGGAAGGTGATTTCGTGCTTCACATTGAGATTTGTAAATGGGCTGAGATCATGGTCATTGCTCCATTATCAGCTAATACCCTTGCCAAGGTAATCAAACTGAGAAACACCATATTTGTCTAGGTGATTTTGGCTCTTTCTTTTGATATTGTCATATGACAGAAACTTTACTATGTACTAATCAAGTTGGCTTTCCTAAGACTTGCTTATATACAATTTAGCATGCATTGAAAAACCTGTAAACGTGAATCAAATGCACACGCTACAACTAGTAGTGTTGAAATGTGAATCTAAACACGCACTTTGATGAGTCACCTATCATATATGTATGTTCCTATGTATAATGTAATGTTCAGTTGTCATGTTTACATCTTGTATAGGGCTAAAGTGCATGTTTCTATTTTATGTGCATTATTTGCAGTTGACAATTATTGCCACTTTCCTCTATTTCTTATTCTAGAGCTATGGCGTTGTAGATTGCAGGGGGGGTTTGTGACAATCTAGTGACATGCATAGTGCAATCCTGGGACTACAAAAGGCCACTCTTTGTTGCACCATCCATGAACACGTTTATGTGGGAAAACCCTTTCACACAACGCCATTGCACGTGCCTTGGTCAGCTTGGCATTTCTCTCATTCCACCTGTTGCACAGAGGAAATCTGAGGAGGAATATGCGAATGGTGCAATGGCTGAACCTTCTAACATTTCCTTAACTGTGAAGAATTGTTGGCGGAAATCATCCATTTGATCTTAACCTTCTAACATTTCTCTCTTTCTAGTATGCATGGCTTGGCAGAACCAAAATTTTCTTGGGTATGATTCTAACCTCTGTTGTACACACTCTAACGGGTTCATGTTGCATTATTAGGTACAAATTTGTAGCAAACATGAGCTATGAATCAGAAATTGTAGCATCGTTTTCCAGATTTGTAGAATGACTTCAAAAAGCATAAAACAATTTATGCAGTTATGAATCTGAAATTGTTGAATATGATTGCACAATGTTCTATAATTTTTCGTTATTTTCTCTCTTCCTTCCATTATAATCCTTTTCTTAAAAGAATGTCATATAAACTCTAAATCTGTGATTGATAAATTCGGAACTTTATATGCCTTTACCTTACCTTCTAAACAGAGAGGCGTGCCCTCAATTAAAGGATTAATAGAAAGCAGCTTTAGTCCCAGAAACTCTATTTAACTCTAAATTTTATGTAGTATGTGCATTTGACGGCTAGTATTTTAGATTTTTAGTTTCTCTTTATCTCATTATTGCACTATTTTTAAAAAATAATAAAATAATAAATATAAATTTCTATACCTTTTTATTTTCTTTATTGAAAATTAAAATAATCTACAAATATAAAAAAAAAATTCGAAGTTCAATAAATAACCTAAAATGCATATTTTCTAGAAGAAAGAAAAAACAATTTCAATAAAATAAAATATAGGAAAAAGGGTGTGGGGTGTCACATATGGGGAAGGCAAGCCTACTTTTCCAAGCTTCTTCTACCTGTCGTATTCCAATTTTCAGATTATTTTTTTAATAAACATGGAAAGATGAGGAGAATTGCCACGTGGAAAGTTTTACGGCCAAAAAGAATAATTAATGCATTGGGTATGGGGTTGTCGATCATGTAGTACACTAGCACGATTAAAAAGTATCACGATTTAAGCAAATAAAAATTAGTTGGATAATAGGTAGTGTTAGTATTATTTTTTTTAATAAAATTTGAGTTTTTTTAATAATATTCGTTGATTTAAAAAGTATGTATTATTATATATATTGTGAAAATAAAATTCTAATTTTAATTTAAGAATAATTAAAATTTAATTTTTAGAAAAATAAAAATAGTACAAATAAATAAATAAATATTCTAAATTTTCAGAAAGGGACACAACCCATGTTGACCTTCAAAAGTCCAAAAGTGGAACCTACGTGCTCCGCTATAAATTGTAACATTTCTAGACCCAATAAATAAATAAAAATTCTAACACTTCTGGCACAAATTTTGAATTCCCAAACACGAGTGGTCCCTCCTATCACTCGGTCCATTGATACACTAAAAGGTAAAAAAAATTACTAATCAGTGTTTTAAAAATATTTTTATTAGTTTTAATTGAGTTTAAATATTAGTATTGGTATTTTTATTAAAATATATTATCATATTAAAAAATATAATATATAATACATATGTTCTAATAAAAATATTAATATTATTTGTTTAAATTTATTTTTGACACTTAATATTAATAAAATTAATTTAAAAGTATGAGAAATATTTTTTTAATTAAATATTTTATTTTACTTTTTTTGTCTTTAAGATACGCTAGTATTCGTTTGGCAAATATATTAATTTTCAAATTCCAATAAATTAATATTGCTACAAAGTTTATATAGCTACGTTTTCTTCTAACACTAGTTCACCAATCGCAACCAGATCACCGCCCATGGCGCCACCCATCGCGGCGCACCTCACGGTCTTTGTCCTCTTCGTCACCACCGCCGCTGCCACAACTGGATACCACAACCACACCGTAGGCGGCGTCGCCGGGTGGTTCTTCAACTCCACCACCAATACATCCGCCACAAACTACTCCTCTTGGGTCGCAACTCAAACATTCAACCTCGGCGATTATCTCAGTAAGCTCAGTCACTGTCTCACTTTTTCTCCTCTTATCATTACTATTACATTATCACGCTTTAATCAACACGACGTCGTTTATCACTCCAATTTACCCCGTTCCGTTGCCGCGAAAACGAAATGGAAAAACAATACGAAATTGAAAACCATTATATATATATATAATTGAAGATTGCAATCAAGCAATTGCCAATTGCAATTTTCTTAACTTTCTCAGAAACCAAACGAAACCATTTAATTCAAATTTGCGTGTTTTTGTTTTGCTAATTTTCAGTTTTCAACACGAACTCGAACCAAACGGTGATTCAGACTTACAACAAGACCTCTTATCTGAACTGCACCGCCGATGATTCCGACAACGGCACCTTTGTCTACGACGGCGGAAACAGTCGTTTCGGCGAAGCGTTGACTATTCCAGTTCCGTTGACTATCATTGGATCAAACTACTTCTTCTCCGACGCCGACGACGGCGTCCAGTGCCAGCGCGGCTTGGCCTTTGAGATCAACGTCCAGCGCGGCCTCGGCTTGCCGCCGAGCCTCAACCAGCCGCCACCGCCGCCGTACATCGAGCCGCCAGGTCCTGATACCGCTCAGTCTCCACCGGTCACGGTGGCGCTGGCTCCCAGCGGCGGCGCGCTCGCGAGCCGCGCTAACGTGCGCGTGGCGGTTTACAGCTTCGCTGCGACGTTGTTGCTGTTGCAGTTTTGGTGAGGAATATGTTAGCTTACGGTGGGTGCGCAGCATATGATAATTTTTTATTACAGCTTATTGCTTATTGTTTCTCCTTTCCACGGAGACAAAGTTTATTGAACTATGGTTTTTCACTTCTCTTACTTTCTCTTACTTTTTATTTATATTTATATATTTTTAAGATAGACTATTAATTTTTACTATTTATTATATATATTATCAACAGCTGAGTAAAAAATACATAAAATACCATATTAATCTTTAAAATTATAGAATTATTATTATTTTTTAACTTTTCTTTTGTAGTTTGCTTAAATTTTTTAATAATAATATCATATACTTATATTTTTGGACCACCGTCGAGACATGGATGTTCTTTATGATTCATAAAAATATTAAGTACGTTAAATTAAATGCTGCTCGCCGGGTGCGTTGTTTCTCATTTCGTTTGGATTTTGGATTTATTTTAAATAAAAATTTATCTAAATTAACCATAAATAAAATTTGGAACTCAATATTAGTCGATTAAAAAACAGTATTAAGATTCAATCAATGCAAGTTGACATTTTACAATTTGATTTATATATATATATATAAATCCTGCCGAATTTTATTTAATTAAATAAATTTTACTTTCTTTTTATAAAAGAATAACTGAATCCGGAATATCCTTTACCCAAATGACGACATCACCCATTCATTCTACAAACAATGAGGCTTCCATATTCTAATCCTTTAGCATTACTCCAATCCTTGGTCTAACTAAAAAAATTAAATATAAAAAACCATTCACTTAAATTTGTTAATTTTTAAAAATAAATTTAATTTATTTAATAAAAGCATTTTATTGATGATTTACAAATATTTTTATATGTAATACTAATAAAAAATTTAATATTAATTTAATATTTGAGGAAAACAAAATGTTTTTTTGACTAAGTATTAGTTAAAAATATTAATTCAATGTAAAAATTCAATAACCATGTAAAAAAAAAGAATTTGCATATTTATAAAATAAAACTGGTCAATTATTTCATTTATAAAAATTAAAATTATAAATAAAATTTAAATATATTTTTTAAAAAACATAGAGTTTAATTTTAACGTAGTATCGATATAAAATTTATATACTGTGAAACACATGTGAATATAATTTATGTTAGTTATTGTAAAAATAATTTTTATTAATATAATAATTCATAATTAGATAGTACACTGTCAATATATATAAATTAAAAGTTTAAATATTTTGTGCTATCAATTTTTTTACACAAATTGAAATTTTTATTTTATAATCTGGGTAATAAAAATTGACCTTAAATGTTAAAATTATATATATATATATATATATATATATAATTTTAATTTATGAATAAAAATATTGTAAATAATTTTTTCAAGAGTTTGTTTTGTTTTATATTGAGTTAGTTATTTGTTATTATATTACGTGATTTCTCCTACTTTAAAATATTTAATTTTTTAATCCAATCTTTTTAATTTTAAAAATTTCATTTCTTTAATTTTATTTTATTTAATATAGTAAAATATTTATAATTTAATTTTAATATACTGAAAATATAAAATATAATTTGATATTAATTATTAAAAAAGTAACGATTTTTACTAGACTGTAACTTTACATTATTTTTTAATTTAATAATACATGTAGATTAAAAAAGTGCTCACTAGTTGACATAATATCCAATTTTAATAAAAAAAAAAACATAAAAACCTTCCGAAAAAATGGCTTTTTTAATTTAATTAATACATTTTAAAAAATAAATTCTCAAAATATAATTATTTTCAAACTAATTCTTTGTCTGGGCTTTTTTTTTTTGTCAGGTCAGAGGTAATATCGGCCATGTACCGACGATAGTCTTTTTTTTTTATAATTTTTTATTACTCTATCGCCCACGTACGTCCGATACTAAGACATAATCTGACACGTGGATTTTTAAAAACGGCAGAAAAAATAAAGAGAAAAACAAATATGAGTATCGGAGATAAAGAAACGATAAACATTAATTTAATATTTTTTAAAGTCTATCGCTCATCGATGGGCGATACTAGTGTACGTTCTGACACATGGCGAGTAGGGGAGAGTATCGGACTCTTTACGACGATAGCGGTGTCGGTGATTAACTGACGTTACATCTATCGCTTTGACTGGGGCGATACTGCTAGTGTGCTGACACGTGGCACAATGCATCCCTTTATCCATTTGTTAATTACTGTATATCGGATATTACCCAATTTTACTTGGTATATATAGATGAAGGAAGTTCTGAAAATTCAATTTGGATTGGAGGAGCAGAAGAACATCGAGGTTAGTATATGTTATTATTGATTTTATATTTTTGTATTAATAGTATAAATTTAGTATAAAATTGAAATTAATTTGTTTATTTATTGAAAA